GAAGTGTCTTGGAGACTTTGAGGCAACACCAGTTGTATGTTAAAATTCTCCAAGTGCAAATTCTGGCTGAAGAGCATTTCTTTTTTGGGGTATGTGGTGAGTGGTGAAGGTATTTCTATTGATTCCCAGAAAATTCAAGCAGTTGCTAATTGACCAAGGCTTACTATGGTATTTGAGATACGTAGTTTCTTGGGTATGACTGGATATTATAGAAAATTTGTGAAGGGATTTTCTCATATTTCTACACCTCTGACGAGACTGACTTAGAAGTCAGTAGCTTTTATTTGGACACTAGAGTGTGAAGCTAGCTTTCAGAGATTGAAGGATTGTTTGACTTATGCTCAAGTGTTAGCACTTCTATTTGGTACGGAAGAATTTTAGGTATTCAGTGATGCTTCACTGAAAGGTTTTGGCTGTGTTCTGATGTAGCATGGTCATGTAATAGCTTATGCTTCAAGATAGTTGAAACCACATGAAAAGAATTACCCGACGCATGATTTGGAATTGACTGCTGTTGTATTTGCTTTGAAGCTTTGGTGTCATTACTAGTATGGCGTCAGGTGTGAGATCTTCACGGATCATAAGAGTTTGAAGTACATATTCACTCAGAAGGATCTGAATTTGAGGCAAAGAAGATGGCTTGAGTTGATCAAGGACTATGATCTAACGATTTAGTATCAGCCTGATAAGATTAATGTGGTAGTAAACGCTTTGAGCAGGAAGTCTTCTAGATTATCACGTGTTCAGTTCACTTCTGATGAGTATTTGATACGAGATATTGAGAGATTGCAACTGGAGGTGATTTCCTCTACTGGTTCAGATTCTGGTATTTTGACTCAGATGAATATTCAGTCTTCTTTGAAAGAGATGATTCATGAAACTCAGAAGTCAGACTCTGAATATTTGAAGTTAATTGATCAGATCAAGTCTGTTAAGAAATCTGAACAACGGATTTTTGATTATGGTATTATTTTCTGTAAGAATAGACTGTGGAGTTCTATGTTTGGAGTTCTGAGGAAAGCGATTCTGCACGAATCTCGTTATTCAAGCTATACCATTCATCTAGGAAGTGGTAAGATGTACGGAGATATGAAAAGCTTGTTTTGGTGGCCTGGAATGAAAAAGGACATAGCAAAGTTTTTATCGAAATGCGAAGCCTGTCAGTTAGTAAAGGCAGAGCATCAACGACCAGGATGTCTTTTGCAGTCATTGCCTATCCCTGAGTGGAAGTGGGAGGAGGTAACGATGCATTTTGCTATGAGTTTTCCTCGATCGGGGCAAGGACATGATGCTACTTGGGTAATTATTGATTGACTGACGAAGTCTGCACATTTTCTTCCGATCAGACAAACGAATTCGGTGGATAAGTTAGCTCAGATACATGTTAAAGAAATTGTCAGATTGCACGGTGTGCCAAAAGTGATTGTATCTGATCGAAATGGTTGGTTTACCTCTAAACTTTTTAGAGGTATTCAGCAAGGATTGGGTACGAAATTGCATTTTAGTACTACTTTTCATCCCTAGACTGATGGACAGTCTGAGAGGACTATTCAGGTACTGGAAGATCTTCTGAGGTTATGTGTTTTGGATTTTGAAAGCAGTTGGGAGGATCACATCCCTTTGATAGAATTTGCCTACAATAACAGTTATCAGTCTAATATTGGTATGACACCTTACAAAGATTTTTATGGCCGAAAATATAGAACTTCTTTGACTCTGACTGAAATAGGAGATAGACAAGTGATGAGTTCAACTTTTGTGGATGAAGCTGTTATGAAAATCAATTTGATTAAAGAAAGATTGAAAGCTGTACAAGATAGACAACATAAATATTACAATCAGAAGCACAGATTTGTAGAATTTCAATTGGGTGACTTTGTCTATGTCAAAGTTAGTCCGATGAAAGGCGTCAGCAGATTTGGAAGAGTGAACAAGCTCAGTCTAAGGTATGTCAGACCTTTTGAAATCATCGAAAGGATTAGAAATTCTGCTTCTAGATTACTATTATCTGATCAGATGTTTTACATACATAACGTGTTTCACGTATCCTCTTTGAGAAAATGGATATCTGATTCTGAAAAGAAAATTGTTGTTGATGATGTGGAGATTCAGGAGAATTTGCAGTACAAAGAAGAGCCCGAGAAGATTTTGGCTTATGATGTGCGGAAGTTGAGAAGTAAATAGATTCCTATGGTTAAGGTTTAGTGGAAGCATAGAACAACAAGAGAGGCTACTTGGGAGAAGGAGTCGGATATGAGACAGTTATATCCGAGTCTGTTCTGACTCAGTTTTTCTTTGGGAATGTCGGGGACGACATTATTCTGAAGGTGGGGAGATTGTGACAAATCAGATTTTCTTTCAGGTTCGTCCGGACGATGTGGAGATCGTCTGGGACGATCAGTTCAAAAGCTGGTGGCAGAGAGGTTCGTCCCAGTACGAAGTCAGGTTCGTACGTATGAAATTTCTCCAGAGCCCATCGTATTGTTAAAATAATTAATTTTCGCCTGAACGAATTTTTTCCAGAGGCGATCGTCCTAGGACGATCGGGTGTACGATCCGACTTTATAAATATCCAAACAGATATTTTTGAAGAAAGAAAAAAAACGAGGGAAAAATGAAGAAAAGTGGATTTTGGGTGACTTCGGTCCGTTTTCGTCCGTCGCCGTAGTTGTAAAAGTTGATCGACTCAAGGTAAGACACATTATGCCTTTCTCAATTTTCAGAAATGTGGATTTTGACGACTTTTCTGTTTCAAATTCCGTTTCTGTTAGCGAAAATTTGGTAATATTTCGTACTGATAAATATTTTACCGCGTAACTTTTGGTATGTTTCTGAGATGATGTTTTTGCACGTTTTGAGTATTTTCTGGAAGATTTTCACATGGTATTTTGAATTCTGCAGAGTTTTAATCTAATAACGAATTATCTAGATGTTGAAAATATTTGCTTCAGTACAATGAAAGTCTTTAAATGGTGTTTTACACTAACTGTGGTAGTTTGGTAATTTTCTGAAACTGTGATTTGATATGTAGAAATTTCTGTAGACTGTCGTTATGCCGCTGACGATTTTTCTAAAGTAATCCAATTTTTCTGAATTTGAATGAATTGATGTGATTGAATGATTAGAAGGGAGTTATAAGGGGTCAGAATCCTTTGAGATTCTATCAGGGTCCGGGAATCTGAAAATAAGTTCTGATCTGATAATTCTGTATATCTGATATATTATGGTGCTGTAAGCACAAGGGAGGCATAATGGGCCAGAATCCTTTGAGATTTTGTCTGTGTCCGGGAAGGGAGGCATAAGGGGCCAGAATCCTTTGAGATTTTGTCTATGTCAGTGAAGTGAGGCATGAGAAGCTAGAATCTGTTGAGATTCTGTCAGGTTCCGGGAATCTGATCTCTGATATGTGATCTTATCTACTTTGACAATGTGCTTTATGATTTGTACGATTCTGATTGAAATCTAATTTGAATTATTCTATTATATGAAATGAATTCAGTTCTTCTGTATCAGTTATTTGATTTCTGTTTGATTAGCTATTTTATACGAGTATCTATATTCTGTCTGATTATACGATTTTCTGTACGATTATCTGAATTCTGTACGGCTAATATTCTGATGTATTTTTGGATGTGAGTTTCTAAAAAATTTGATTGGCTAGTGTAGTCTTGCTGAGCTGTTAGCTCATTCTTGTTATCTGCGTGGTTTTCAGGTTCTGGGAAAGGGAAGGAGGTCTTGGACTAGCCGTTTAGTGTCTGATCTAAGATTAGGTATTTTTGTACTTTTTGATTTTTGTACAGTCATGGCTCTTCTGTTCTGTTCTTTCTGTTGGTAGCCATGCACTGTAATGTACATGATTATTTTGAAGAAAGAAAGAAGAAAATCATGGATGAACTTTTCTATATTTGGATGTTTATAGTAGCTATGTGTTTTCTGTATGTCTGTTTATTGGAAGAAAGTCTGAAAGCAAATTCCAAAGCTAGATCCTGGATTCAGTCGTCGTGGCTCAACGTGATGGGATTCGTTCCGGTGGGGTTGGGTCGTGACACTTCAAGCCTTAGAGCTCTCTTGATTCTCAATCCCAGAGTATAAGCCTCCAAAAGTCTATGCCCCCTCTTATATGGGAAGAGGAGATCTATTTATAGATTTTGAGAGTGACATGTCCTATAAATGTGGAGAAGATTGAGGGTAGATTCAGAGTTCTCTCTCGGATGACCCATACTAATTTCCTCGATCATAGAGTATTTATTCAACATTTGTGTGCCTTAATGATGTCAGAATTAAGCGACCTTGGGCTTGATTTGACTCTAAGTATGCCAATTGGTCATCCAATTAATGATTTAAATCTTTCATTTATGCTCCAAGCTCTTAATTTGGGCTCATTTGAGTTCAGATTGTACCGATTTTGGAGTAATTGGGTTCATCTCATTGAGATATTCAACTTGGTTATAAATTTGCTGAAATTGGAGTTTGGATGTCCCGAATTGAATTTTAAAAGTTCCTAATTCATATATGCCTCTTGATTCATGCCTGATGAAGGCATATTTTGGCGACATATCAAAAATAGTTGTAAAAGGAAATTTTCCAAGTCATTATGCATTATCTAACTCTAATTGTAAGGCTAACCAATGTGCAACTAATTCAATAAGATGTCAGATCTTAAATGATCTTAGGAGTGTCAAAATTGATTATATATATATATATATATATATATATATATATATACACACAGAAAGGTTTAAAAAAATAAAAATAAAAAATAAAAAAAAAATAATAAAAACCTATCACAAAGGTTTTATAGATAAAAAAAAAATCCTATCACAAAGGTTTTTCAATAGTTCCCACTATCAAGGAAGTAAATAAGAGTCCCAACTCTGTATTGAATACACCGAAAGTTTATTAATATATAAATGATAAATCTAAATACGCACACTAACAAATTAAAGTCCAAATTAAATTCTATTTCACCAACCAGAACATAGTCAAGGTGTCACATAAACGTGTCATTTGGCTTCTTACGATCTTCACCGAATCATACCAAAACTGTGAACGAAAAAGCACATGTTCTAAGATCTAGACTAAGTTCATTGAACTTCCCATGCTTTTAAATACACAGTAGCTCAGCCTTCCTTCTTCCCATCAAGCCACGGATAGAAGAAATCAATGGCTTCTTCTTCTTCTTCTTCTTCCTTCCTCCACTTCTTTCCCACCAAAACCAGCCTTCAAACCCGTGAAGATAGAGAGAACTTCCCTTTCCACTACAAGAAACACCATTACTCCTTCCCTTCACAGAACAAAATTAATCAAGCCAAATTATACCGCTCAGGCCTTCAGCTCCATTGTTCTCCTCTTGAGCACAGCTTGACCACCAGTAGTATGTGCAACCAAACTTTGGAATCTCCATTGATGGATAAAAAAGAAGCTCCTTTGAGAATTGCCATTGTTGGTTTCGGAAACTTTGGACAGTTCATAGCTCAGGGTCTGAAGCGCCAAGGTCATCTAGTCATGGCCACATCCAGATCGGACTACACCGATTACTGCAAGATGAACGGATTCCATTTCTTCAGGTTAAAAAGAAATGAAACAGAAGTTTTTATTCTCTTCATATCTTAGAATCACATAAACAAATATCACTTTTTCTGAACGTTTTTGAAAACAAATTCAATTAAAATTTGAACAAAATTTCAGTGATTTCAATTTACAGAGGCAATTGAAATGGACCGTTAATTATTTCTCCAGTGATTCATAACTAATTAATATGTTTCTCGTAATATTATCTGGATTCAGGAGCATGGATGCAATGTGCGAAGAAAAGCCAGACATTTTCTTAATTTGCAGCTCAATCCTATCAACTGAAAAGATCGTCCGCACAATCCCCTTTCATAAACTCAAGCCTGATACCATCTTTGTCGATGTTTTATCAGTAAAACAGTTCCCTAAAAATCTCTTCCTTGAGGTATATATGTGTAAATATTAATAATGGCTTAATTAATGAACATTTAACACTAATTAACAATGTTGACATTTTTGATCATATGAAGGTTCTCCCTCCAGAGTTTGGTATCGTTTGTGCTCACCCCATGTTTGGACCAGAGAGCGGAAAAGATGGCTGGGCTGGTCTGCCATTTGTCTACGACAAGGTTCGGGTCTTCAGTGATGGCCCTCAGGCTCTAAACTGCCAACGGTTCTTAAACATTTTCGAGAATGAGGTTAGTAAAGCTGTGATTGAAATGGCTATAATTGGTATCATTTAGTCCCACATCGATTAAGAATAAAATTTTCTATTTTGCAGGGCTGTAGAATGGTAGAGATGTCATGCGAGGAGCATGATCGACATGCTGCAGGAAGCCAGTTCATAACGCATACTATTGGAAGGTAAGTTAACAATCCAAAGGAACTTTAAATTATTAATGAAGTAGTTCATTTTAGCACATTAAGGGGGTGTTTGATATAGGATTGGATTCAATTTTAGTAGGATTTACTAAATCCTGTAAATCTAGATTTAGTAAATCCTAGGCTCATAAATCTTGAAAAGCGTTTGGTATGACAAATTTTAAATCCTGTTAAATCCAGAAAAGAACCTCCGCAACTTACTAGTAAGTTGCGTTAAATCCGAATAGAAATGAGATTAGGATTTAGATGGTTACCGGATTTATGTCGTAAATCCTAGATTTGACGGACTTATAGCCGGCCGAATTTTGTTTCGCTGGATTTACGCTAAATCCTACTAAAAATGACGGACAAATACGATACCAAACACCCCCTAAGAATGGCTGATATTGATTCCATTGAACTCCAAATGATTTGACAAAACTGTAATCCTTCGTTATTTGATCGATGCAGAATCCTATCTCAATTAAATTTGGAGTCCACGCCCATCAACACAAAGGGATATGAGACCCTTCTGAAGCTGGTAATTATCTCTGGGATTTACCTGAAAACTTAAACTTTACCTTTGAATCTGTTTATGCAGACAAATTAATTTATTTATGATGTTTCTTTTGTGAAATAGACTGAGAATACGGTCAGTGACAGCTTCGATTTATACTACGGGCTGTTCATGTACAACGTCAATGCTACAGAACAGGTATGTTGCAGAACGTAAATAAAGCTCAGAATTTGATTTTAATGGATGAAGATGAAATGAGTAACGAAGCTGTATATGGAGTGCAGATTGATAACCTTGATAGGGCGTTTGAGACGGTGAAGCAGAAGCTCTTTGGGAGATTGCACGATATTCTAAGAAAGCAAATAGTAGAGAGAGTTCCCCTTCCTGTAGAAGTGAATGCAGAACACAGAAGGAAGAAGAACTCAATCTCTGCTCCTTCTTTCCTTCCTAATGCTGAGGAAATGAATATAAGGGATATTGCCTCCTTTGCTGTGCCCGGGGAAGTCATTCCCAATTCGAAGGCTCAGGCGCAAGGCATTCGGTAAACTAATGGTGGAGAGAGTAAGAAGGGCATTTGAAGAAATTTTTTTAGAAAAATGGGGGTTATGTAATGAGAGATTATAATTGTATAAAATTGAGTAAATTATGATATAATCTTCTTTCTTCTTCTACCAATTGTTAAAATGAAATATAAGAAATGTATGCATGCAATTCTGATAGGATGAAGTATGATGTTTACAGCACTTGTTCTTCTTTTATCAATCAATAAAAAATTAATTAGTTCCCTTTTACTTAATTTCATCAATCTTTTTTTTTTTTTTTTATGGTAGTTGCTTAATTATTATTCATCTTCCTTATTCACCGCAATAGCAGAAACATATGGAGGAAGGCTAAACAGAAGGCAAAGGAGGAAGAGAAATGCAAAGCTACGCGCTCAATATCTACCAGTACCAGCCCATCCTTCAAATCTGTCAGCTCAAGAGCTAGAGATTGATATTCCAACACGGATCAGGTTCGCTAATGAAGTGGGTAAAGAGAAACAGCTCCTCTGACGAGCTCAAACAATCTTTTTGGGAGCATCGACCTGAAGCTCCAACCCCTCAAAAGGCGAGAGAGCTCGAATGTCTATCTGCTCGATTCCACCATAAAATCTATTAGAAAGTAATATCCCAAACAACTTTTTTTTGAAACATGAGCAGCCTATATATGCCTACATATCTAAATCTCTCCGAAGAAAAGCAATATAACACACAAGAGAGTGGCCTATTAAAAGAGAATTTACTAAAGAGTGGTTATATTCATTGTTTGATGCTCTCTAAAATCAAATTAAAATGAGACATCCCTTGCTAATCAAGGCTTTGATCAATTTTTCAAGTGGGAGATTCACTATCAAATTCAAGCCAATCTCTCATTAAAGAGAAGTGAGTGATGTCCCACAGAGAGAGCTGTTTTGCTCCTATGTGCAATGTTCTTGAAATAAGGTTTGATAGAATGTAAAGAACAAGCAAAACGCTGATAAAGAACTACAATCTTTATCATCCTTCACTACAAGTACTAAGGAAAGGCCCTAACTCCTAAGTACGAATTGCCAATGTATCTATGCATCCATGAATTATTACAAGAGACTCTATCCACAAGCACTTAGTTGGTGATTAAACCAAGTGCAGTACAATTCAGAATTAGGTATCTCAATGAGACCAGCATTAAAGATGCAAATGTTGAAATTCGTCATTTTACAAGTAATAGGAGAAATACCGCAACTTTTTCTTCAACAGATTTGATGCAAAAATAAGGCTTCGTTTGGGACGGCTTTCTTCATGCTTCTTAAAGCAACTTTTTATTACAAAAAATTTAAATTTTTAAAATAAAAGCTACTTTAAGAAGCATAAAAAAGCCGTCCCAAACAAAACCTAAATCAACTCAAATTAGCTACAAGTCAATAGTTATAGAGGCTATGTTACCTAATGCCGTGCAGAGGTGAATCAGGACGAGCCATGTCATCATTTGCTGTGTAACGGGGTGACATGGCGCATCCTGATTCGTCTATAGACTGTCCGGTGACCACACGTAATAATTTCTCATGCACAAGATCCATATTAAACATGAAAAAAGAGAGAACATATAAGAACATAGACGGATCCAAATAAGTGTGCAATACTACAGAAAAAACTGAGGAAAAACATCAAACCCAACCTCCAACCGATCAAGCAACCAACAGGAAATGAAAAATCGAAGCAGGCGTGGAAGAACAACTAAAGAAGTTCATTTGCTTAATTCATTTCACAAAGGAGCTTGCTTTGCCTTCTTATATAAGAAATTAAGATTCTTTAATGACTGACTACATACATCTGTATAATTCTTACATCTACGTTTTATAGGAAAACTCAGCAGCATCCTTGCCGAAGTCTGGCAAATCTAGAGCATTCCAAGCAATGCTCGCATCTTCTTTAGTTGGTATATCTGCATCCAATACAGTTTCCTGTATTCCAAGATATAATCATTTACGCATAAATAGATTTGAAATACAAAAGGTGTTAATGTTATAAAAAAAATGAATATTTCTCAATAAGTTTTAAGGTTACCTCATCAAACAACTTTCTGACGTATCCAACAAACACCAATTGCAGTGGTTCCATAATAAAATTGTTGATTTCACCTAATATGAAAGGCTTCTGCAACAAAAGGTTAAAACGCAAAGAAAATTTCTGCTAAGTTATCACCTTTAATGCTTCAAGTTACTCACAACAGGTAAAATATCATTACATTAACATTTTGTTACTCCGGCCCTGCTGCTTTTCCTGAACCGGCCCCAGTGGACCGGTTTGGGTTTACCACCGCCGGACCAAGCAAGGGGAGAGAGGGGGGCCGGCCACTCCCTTGGGCCCCATACCTTGAGTAATGCTTGTTTGAAGGGAAAAAATTTGAATTAGGGGTTTTTTAGGGAATTTGTAATTTTCCTTTGTCTTTAATTATTGGTTAATGTTAGAATTAGGGTTGGATCTGGAATTGGAGAAAAGATTTAAGATCTAGGGTTTGTGTTCTTGGGCTCTAGGCTGGGCTAGAGAATCGGAGAGTTGTTTCTTCCTCTTGAATAGAAGAAACGTGTATCTTTGCTGTTTTTCCTGCATCTAATAGTGAATTTCTCCACTGTGTCCTCAGATTTCTCTGTTTTTCCTAAGGAAAACTGCTGTAGTTGCTGTTTGACAGCAACTGCTGTAAACAGCAATTGTTTTCACTGTTTTCTATCTGATCTTGCTAGGTTTGCTTGTGAACTCAAGTATTATCCTTGGGGTTACTTGCGAACTCAAGTACTTCCTATCACATTTACCCAAAAAAAAGGCAAGTTTTTACATACCAGTAATTTTAGAATAGTGAAATGCAGGTTAAACAAATTACTCACAATAATCCGCCTAGAAAAGCCAGTCGAAAAATCCCAACTCACAGCTGCCACCATTTTAAAGATTCCCTGTATTTGAAGCTTAGCCCATCCAAAGAAGATACCCGAAATTTGATCAGGAAGAGTATCATATGAACCATTATCTGTTGGTTTAGAATGTGCCAAAAATTATCAGAAAATATAAGATCATATAGTTCATATTATCAGAGTTTACTTACCCGAATCTATGCTGAGTATCACAGAGCTGTTCTGAGCAACAGCCTCACGTATCAGACCTTTAGCATACAAAGGTTCAATTGGCAAAGCATTTTGGATCCCTGCCTTTTTAATTCGACATTCATTACTTGCAACGACTGAAGATATCAAATGAGCAGTAGATATAGAAGATAAGACATACAGTCTTCAAATGGAGGAAGTCCCCATAATTCAGGCTGAAATTCTAAAAGTGACCGAAGAACATAATTTGCAATTGAATAGCGTTCCGCCTGATTCTGAAGTGATGGAACGGCCACTACAGTTGTTCCAGCATCCTTTGCGGCTCTAACTCCGACCCTAGTTAGAAATATCAAGTTTTCAAACAGAACTTGCAATAAATATGAGACTGAAAGAGAGAATGCAGTGTCTTTCAAAAAAAAAAGAAATCATGGATACATAAAATGAAGAACCTTCCCTTTTATTAGAAAACACAAGAGATGAAAAATGCGAAGGTGACAAATTAAGAGCACACAGGTATGATGAGCATCAAAGATAAAGGTTTACTCAAATCCATATCCAAACAAGTTATGTCATTTAAGGTTTCTATTTATATTTCGTTTCACTAAATTTCAGATGTCATACCCTGAGGTGGAAATTAAGTTTTGTATGATTTACAAAGTCTCCGTCAAGAACTGGTTCAGTTATTTTTTTTGGAATATCTTTATAATCACTTCTCGCAAAGTGATTTCTTCCTTCATAAAATTTTCACCCAAATCTCGTTGATTCATAATAGATATTACACATATCTAACACCAAAGAATCTTTTTTATTTTATTTTATTTTGTTATGAAGTCATTTTTGTTTTATAGAGCTTATGACAACAAGCTTTGATGGTGCTAATGAGACTATGAAACAATAAGAGAAAGTTCAGAAAGCAAGAATGCCTCAAAAAGATTGGTTAGATTTAAATCATTGTCAATTTGAATAATTCGTTCCATGTTTGTGTATTTATCTGCGCAGAAGAGTAAGTACACATTTCTGCATATGTGATTTTGTTTGTGGAGGGGTTACTGATGCAGGACTACTTAGATGAGATGCTTATGGGTTCATTTAGGCATTGCACAACTTTTCGATTAGAATAATTTTAGAATAAAGTTACGAGCAATTCTCAGCGAAGATTCAAAACAAATAAAGAGGTAATTTGCTTAGGCGAAATCACATGCTCGGAGTTCTGAAACTTTCAAGATAAATAAGAAAATATAACAATACAAAGTAGTAGCCTTCAAATTAATCCCTAATCTAACAACGAGAATTAGGATGCAAATAAAGCACGCTCAATTCCTATGATTACTAAGCTTAGCAAGAGCATTGGGAGGAGACTTTGCGACTACAATCACACCGTTGAGAATTTGGACTTAAAGAAATAAGATGCAAGTGTAGGAGAAAACCTTTGCTAAGGAGTGGTGGAGATCCTCCACTCAAGGCCCTCGAAGTGCTCGTCAATGACTTCCGTCAAAGCAAACAAGAGCAAAGGGAAAGGAGCTTCTCTTGAAAGGGGAGAGGATGCAAGCACCAAGTCTCTTCCCTTAAAATCTGAAAAACAGCTTCAGATTTCCAACAAAATTTTGAATGGAAAACTGAGAGCAATTTTCCCTGCACGGGTTCTGGACCACAGAGTATCTAGTGCACATAAGAGAGATGAGGGGGCTGGTGGAGCATGACGAGGGAGTTGGCGGGATAGAGGGGCTGAGGCGGGATTTAGTTCCTAATTCTCTTAATTGATTTAGGAATTAATTTAGGAATTAAGGTTTCAGAGGAATACGGTTCAGAGGGGTGAGGCTTCAATTGTTTCCAAAAGGATGGGGTGGGGTTTTTAGGAAACAATTCCTTTAGGAATTATTTCCTGGGCCGGTAGTTAATGAGGTCAAAGAGGGATTTGAGGAGGTGATTTGAGGAGCATGACAGGTTTAAAAAAAATAAGAAATCAATTAGTGAAAATCCATTTGAATTTGAAAATCCAAATTGATTTAATTTAAGACTTTCCTAAAATAGATTTATCAAATTAGGAAAGAAATTTTGAAATTCACAATGATCAATTTTGAATTTCAAATCTACCATCATTCAACTCAATCTAAAATAGAAAACTAGCATGAATGGGGGAAAAGGAGGTTGGATCGGCGGCTAGGTGGAGAAGGTGGGGAAAATTCGAGTGGGAGGCGATGAGGGCTTGGAGATGGGGAAGGGTTTGGGAAAAAGATGTCCGATGGTGGTGGTGGAAGGAAGAAAGACAAAGATAAAGAAAGACCACGAACCCGGCCGTCTCCAAGGTTGGTGGGTAGTGCGCAAGCTTCCCTCTCCTAGGAATATCTCTCCATCAAGCACTCAAACTCTCACAAGAGCTCATGCAAGAAGACAAATGCAGGAAAATTTTTTCTTAATCATTCCATTCCTTGAAAATAAAACAAAGGGGTTTTAAATAGCCTCATACAAAAGACTCTAACTGACATGACACAATTGCCCTTAGGCTTACACATGACCACTCCCATACAAAAGGGTACACAGGGAAAATAAATAGACACACATAAGCAAATAATAAAATGCATGAAAATAAAATACATCGACTCAAAAATATAACGAATCGATCGTGGCCGTAGATCGGCGGCCACGTCGCTGGTAAACTTTCCATGATGATCTGATGTCCCCATCAGTTACGAAGAATTTGCTTATGTAAATGAAGATCACTTCATGATTAATCTCATAAGAAAATGCTCCAAAATAGATTTGATAGTATGAATAATGATTGTCAAATAAATTTAGATTGTAGTATACTAGAATAGTCAAGGAATGATCTTTAGTCATCACATTGAAAGAGGGGTCATATGTCAATGAAAACAAGATCCAAGTCTTCTAGTATTACAACTTTCGGAGGCTTCAAAAGAAACATTTCATCAAGTATCTACATGAGTTTCTCTTTTCTTGCTTTCCATGCTTACGTAATACACTGGCATTCTTATTTCTTAGCTTATGAATGTGTACGTGCTTTAAACAAGAATGAATATTTTTTCTCTTATAGTGCATATAGCTGTTCTCAACAATCCAGCAATTCGTACACAACAATCATCATAATCTACCTTGACATAGAGTGTCAAATCAAGAAGAGTTCAATGAGTTATATTAATGAAGCAAAATCAAACACATAAGGTTTCTAACATAACTAGAACGAAAGAAAACAAAACAATAATTGGATTATACTCACGGAGAATCTTCAATCACAAGACAGCTTGATGCATCAAAACCCAGTCTTCTTGCTGCCTCAAGGAATCTGAACATATTAGATTCAACTCCGGTTAGATGACTGCCCAGTGGAGCCAATCGTAATGCTGAATATTTATTCACTAGTGTAAAATCTTTCCTAGAAAATAAACACAAGAACCTACATGTCTGGAGAAGGTTTTCCATGACTAACTTCATCACCACCAATGATAACAGAAAACAATTCCTTCCAACCTGAGTTTGAGGAAACCTATTAATCATAATTACCAAACCATAATTCAGTAACAAAACCATAAAAATTTGCAATTATATAATTTTTTTTTAAATACGGCAGTAGCTATGTGATACATGATATGAGGATGTCAACATTAAAAAAAAAAGGAAAATTACGATAAGTTTAAAATATTGAAAAAAAAAATCAATATATACTGAACTTCCTAACCAATGAAATTGATATTGGAGAAAAGTAAAGAGCGTACTCAACAGTCAAATTCTGGGGAAATTATTCTGTGCGGACTCCGAACGCAGAAGATTGTCCGGATTCTGCATATGCACTGCGTATGAACTGAGTATGGACTATGTATGGGTTGCGTATTTGTAGATATGCAGCAAATATTAAGCCAATCATTAGTTGCGAGTATTTACTGAGTATTTAGTAAGTATTTGTTGCATTCTATAAATACACAGTAAAATACGCAGTCCATACACAACATCCAGAAGATCCTCTATGTTCGAAGTCTGCACAAAATAATTTCTCCAAATTTTGACTGGCTTTGGATTATTTTGGAAGCACCATTCCTAACTGCATCATTACTCAGAAGAACTATAAAATGCATCAGAATACAAAGAAAGTGACAACCTGGTTGGTGAGAGATCTTTGTTCCTATATGCCTCTTTATCGAGTTTGAAGCAAGTCCGAGTGGGACTCCATGTTTATGAAGATGTTGGATAAGCCGATTAACGCCAGGCAATTCTTGTGCTTGTGACCACCTGGATGACAGATAATTACGCCAAAAAATGTGAATCCTTTTCACCTGGCTATGAACACCAACCAAAGAAGAAATCCGGTAAATAATAAAAAATAAACAAGCCATTCAATGCCGTGTCCCCTTTAACCCTTCCATGGATAATAACCAAATCACATTTGCTTGCATAACTTATAACATTAACATATAGAGAGAAAACGCACATTTTTCTCTAAAACAGTGAAGGTTCCTTTTCATCAATATATCTTTAAATACCAGGAAAAATGACAATTCATGGTAATGAATGTACCTTTGCTGATAGATGGGCATGACGGCCAGCGAATACTCCTCTGCTGTCATTGGCAATTCATAATCCTCCACGATAGCTTTTGCTGACTCCTTGTGCATTTGCCCCAGCCTCTTCACCTCCTTGTCTGGATCCAGAACTTTACCATATTTTTCCAAGAACTCCCTCAATACTCCTCCCGTTGCCCTTTCTTCAAATAGACAATGCCAATACATAAACATATTTATATTAAGATAATAATAAAACTTCAAGAAAAATCAAATAAAGACAAGATAATAAATATAATAGAGATCATATGCACAAGATGTTCAATCCAAAATTGTTTGTTGCAATATCAGAACCTTACAAACAAGTGCAGAATATGCTTATGATAGAAAGAGATTAAAGACAAAAAGAGAACCAGAGAGAGGTGCTCTGAGAATATCTATTAGATTACTAGCAAAAAAGGTACAAACAGATGTGACAAGTCAATCAAAATATGTGAAAATGTCATTGAATATTATTGACTCTCCCAAGTTCATCCTTTGGCTCTATATTTGTAAGTTTAGGTCAAGGAACAGCTCTAAAAAAAAGGATTACATTTAAATAATATAAGTAAAATTATATAGCAAAACTTGATAATTTTGTTGTGAAGTGGACAAATTTGATTAGATAATAGTAGTCCAAGTGGACATAAATTCTAGTGAGGACAAGTTCCAAGTGCGGATGTCTTTTGTGAAAGTATAAATTTTGGGTGAGGATGAGTTCCCTGTAAATAAGAGTTTCGAGGGAGCCCAAGTTCCTAGTAACGATGAGCTATATGTGAAGAGAAGTTTCCAATGAGGATGGGTTATATGTAAGGACAAGTTCCCTTTGCAAATTTCATAGGATGAATTCCATTGATGATTTCCAAGGGACGAATGCCCTTAATGAGTTCTAGAGGACGAATGCCCCTGATGTATCCAAGGGTATGAACCCCCATAAGTTATTTTGACAAGTTCACATAGCAAGAACTATTGGATATCTATCGAATACTTCGGACGGATAATTGGTAATTTTAATAAACCAAGTTTTCAAGTTCATAACACGATTAAATCAACCTGATGCAGATGAACAAGTGAATGCATTAGTTCCTCGATTCTCATCTCTTCCATGAAGCTAAACAGAATAACAGAATAACGGAATAAAAACTAAAAGCCTCATTTCAATCCGAGTAAACTGGAGATGTGGAAAAAGCCTTTTGTTGATATCGCTTGAATGTTAAAATGCCATTTGCATTAGAATTTGAATATTCTGAATTGTATACATCCAAATACCTTCTATTGAATATTGAATTAAACAAGTCTAATACTAACTTTTAATTAGGGTAATCCAAATAATAATTTGAAATAGAATGAGTCAAGATAATAATTTTAGATAGCATAAGGTGAGTATTAACTTTTGAATATAATGTGTCGAGTAATTATTTCAAAATAAAATGAACTAAGAAATAATATACCAGGAGAAGAATCTCGCCTTAATTTATAATAGTTCATTGTTTTGTATATATATTTAGAGAACATGTCATTATCTTTAATGGGCCTCACCTTATATCAATGTTTAAAATTGCATATTCGGGTATTGAGGCGTTTTTCATTCGTGAGGCGAGGCGTAAGCCTCAAGGCGTTTTGAGGCGTAAGCCTCAAAATCAAAATATTGCGTAAACATAAATTGATAAATTTTTTATATACTAATGAGTGAATAATATAAAATATAAAAAAACATAAGATATGAAGTGAAATCAAAATATCCCAATAATAAGACAACATGAAATATAGTTCAACTCAAAATTCTATTTTTCCCAAAACCCAGTATTCTTTTCATTAACATATGATTAAAATTTCCTAAAATAAATAGCAATGACATATCACATAAGAACTCATAAGTCATCAGTACTATCATCACTAAGGGGTTCTTCATTTGAATCATCATTATGATGAACTGCTCTCTCCCCTTCCTCCTCTCCTATAGAGTCCAATGTCGGGCATTTACTTCAAGATTTATATAAGTTTTTATATATATAGCGTGAGGCGTAAGCCTCATGCCAGTGAGGCGAGGTGGGCCTTAAGGCGGGCCTCAACCAAGTTGAGGCGCAAGCCTCGTAAAAAAAAACTCGAGGCGTAAGCATCGAGGCGTTTTTTAATGGAATTGCGCAAAGGCGGGCCTCAAGGCGAGCCTCATATTGCGCAATTTTAAACCATGCCTTATATCATAGCTTTCACGAGGATAATTATCTCTAGACTCGCATCTGGACTTTAATTTTTAGTATGGATCTTGTCATAAAGGGGATAGCAAAAGTAATATAGTTTGTCCTTTCATCCCTATATATTGAGGATTTTAGTACTACATAGAAAAAGAATAGAATTTTAAATCGAATAATTTTTAGAAAAAGAATTTCAAACAATTTATTAAGATGCAAAGTAAATAGGTAATAACTTTGATGTGCAAGTCATTTAGCAAAATTTCATTGTGATACCATTTTGTTTGGTTCATCAAAATTGCTTATTCCTTTAATTAAACCCATATTTTAATCAAGTGTTAGAGCGATATTAAGTGAAGATTGTTAGTCTAATTGGGAGGTGTAACTCTCCTATAGAGAATACTTTCGCAACAATCAGATTTGAACATAAAATAAGACCGCTTTAGTCATTAGCTTAACTTAATTCACACCTTCTTTATGTTGACCTCCACATCAGATAAAAAAAAAGAGGCTTAAATGATTACCTGCTATAGCCCATAAACAAATCCTGCTCAAATCGCTGCTCTAGCCGCCTGCTACAGTACCTATCTTCTCCAAGCGGCACCGAAGTTGTCGCTTCACCCATACTCGTCTCGATCTAGCGACTCTTGCTCGTGTTCATAAAAGGCGACCGAGAGAAGCCTTATGTTCTCTTCCCCAAACGCACGGCCTTGATACAACCGGAGCCTTCTTCCTTCCTCTGACTCTTCCAGTGGCAGTAGAAGCCAACCGAAGATCCGACTCCTGCCCTAACCCGACACTAGCTCCGACTTTCCCTCTCCATCTGACTCCACTAGCCGAATCCCCCATCTAGTTGAATCAAACTGCCCTGTAGCCGCATATCTCCTCCAACCGACTTCATCTTCCAAATTGAGAGCTCTCCAACTCCTCATAGCAGAATCCAACTTACAGTCGAGCCCTTCTCTGCAAGCCATCGAAACCACAACCCCAACCGGCTTCTGGTGCTGTAAACTTGCCAAACCTATCCGATCTTCCTCTTCCCCAACCATGAAGCTCCCAACCATTCCTCCCTGCCGCAAACCAACCTCCACAATCAAGCCCTAGGCAATCGAATCTCCTGCCCTAGCCAAAAGCCTCACCCCTTCCATTCGACCTCACTCTTCTACCCTTACATTTGTTCAACTGATAGAACCTCCCATCTTTGTCGCAACTCCATTGGCCGAATCCCACATCTAGCTGAATCAAACTGCCCTGTACCCGCAGATCTCCTCCAACCGACTTCATCCTCCAAACTGAGAGCTCTCCAACTCCTCATAGCAGAATCCAACATATAGTCGAGCCCTTCTCTACAAGTTGTCGAACCTCACAACCCTAGCCAGCTTCTAGTGCTGGATCTAGCTAGTGAACTCGCCAAACCTGTCTGATCTTCCTCTTCCCCAACTTTGAAGCACTCGACCATCCATCCCTGCCGCAAACCGACCTCCACAATCAAGCCATAGCTAGCCGAATCTCTTTCCCTAGCCGAAAGCCTCACCCCTTCAATTCGACCTCACTCTTCTACCCTTACCTATATTCAATTGACCAAACCTCCCCTCTCTTCCGCAACTCCACTGGCCGAATCCCCCATCTAGTTGAATCAAACTGCCCTGTACCCGCAAATCTCCTCCAACAGACTTCATCCTCCAAACTAAGAGCTCACCAACTCCTCATAGTAGAATTCAACTTACAGTCGAGCCCTTCTCTATAAGCCGTCAAAACCTTACAACACCAGCTGGCTTCTGGTGCTAGATCTAGCTGGTGAACTCGCCAAACCTGTCTGTTCTTCCTCTTCCCAAACCTTGAAGCTCCCGACCATCCATCCCTGCCGCAAACCGACTTTTACAATCAAGCTCTAGCAAGTCGAATCACATGCCCTAGCCGAAACCCTCACCCCTTCCATTCAACCGCACTATTCTACTCTTACACGTGTTCAACTAATCGAACCTCCCCTCTCTACCGCAAGCAAGACCCAACTCGAGCCCTTCCCTCTCTGCTTAAGCCACAAACCCAAATCCTTCACACATGTAAGTTAGGATAGATCTTTTATTAATTATACCTATTAATATTTAGTGTTATTATTACTATTACTTATACACACACACACAAAGAAAAAAAGAAGGGAGAAAAGTTAAAAAAAAAAAAGAAAAAAAGAAAGGAGGAGAAAGAAAAGAAGAAGAAAATAAGTATTCAAGAAAAAAATAGATTTTGTGCATTTTGCATCACTGTAGTTCCCGCCACTACATCACATAGGTATAACCCCTTTGTGACTAAAACTTCAAGAGCCCATTTTCAGCGCTTGCAACACGGCGAGTAACCACCTATACGCATTTTTCTTAGTGTGGTGGGAGGAAACTCATCGCGATGCTTGCGACAAGGAAGGTAAACACTTAAAGTCTTGTTTTCAGCATTCACAGCGCACCGAAAAATTGACTATACACACTTTTCTTAGCGTGGTGGGAAGAGAATCCGATGCGGCGCCTACGGCGGGGCCGGCGAGCCCTGTACACGCTCTCGTAGCTTGACAGGAAAAACAACTACATTTTCAAACAGGTACATTCAAAGACCCATACACGCCTTTCTTGGCGTGATGTGGATGAAGATTACGGCCGAGGTGTCTATGGACACCTACCATACACACTTTTCTTAGCGTGGTGGGACGGCCCATACTCCTGTAGTTTTCTCTAAACGGGAGAGATGCCAGGAAGCTACCGAAAAGAATTCAACTTACAGTCGAGCCCTTCTCTGCAAGTCGTCGAAACCTTACAACCCCAGCTGGCTTCTGGTGCTAGATCTAGCTGGTGAACTCGCCAAACTTGTCTGTTCTTCCTCTTCCCAAACCTTGAAGCTCCCGACCATCCATCCCTGCTGCAAACCGACCTTTACAATCAAGCTCTAGCAAGTCGAATCACATGCCCTAGCCGAAACCCTCACGC